GGGCCGACCCCAAAACCTGAACCTAAATTAGGGATCCAAAAAAGCACATAAGCAAATATTAGGATAGGGATAACCCATATAACCCCCCTTATAATGAAGCCCCATACCGTAGAGATATCCCTTATGCTTATGTCCTTTTTGGGCCCCTAATAGTTGGTGTCAGAGTTGAAGACTAAGGTCCACGTCCTCGGTTTGACAGCTGGAGCAATGTGGGAGTTTCCGAAAATTAGGGTACCTCATTTTGGGGGTCCTTACAATAGGGATCCTATTATTTAGGGTACTAGATTAGGGTCACCTATTTTCGAAACTCCCCATGTTCCAGGATTGTGATTCTGCCGAGGGGCCAGTCGCCGCTGTTGTAGCCTGAGCTCAGAGCTATCCCTTTGCCCAAGCCAACCGTAAACCCTAACCCTAAACCCCCCTAAACCCTAAACCCTAAACCCTAAACCCTATGAACCCTAAAGTGAGGTTTGGTATGTACGGATGGGCGCAACTTGACCTAAACCGTGGCTCGACTCTAGACTGGGTTTAGGGTTTAGGGTTTAGGGTTTAGGGTTTAGGGTTTAGGGTTTAGGGTTAGACTGCATCACCGCCACTGTCGCGATCCATAGACTTCGAGCGCAGCACTTCATCGCCTGCACCGGCGATTGGCTTCCCCTAAGGGTCCAAAGGACCTAATAATTAGGTACTTAGGTTTCAGGACGGAACCCACGCCCGAAATGAGCGAAAATGAGCGTACTTAGGTTTCATATAGTAGTTATGTAGGTTACTATTTCGGAGAGTATATGACTATTAGGTACTTGGACCCCTAGGGTTCGGGTTTGCGGAGTTCAGCAGTCCGGGTCTTTAAGGGCGTGGTTCAGGGTTTAAGTCTAAGGGTTAAGCCCTAAACCCTAAACCCCCCCAAAACCCTAAAACCCTACACCCTAGAAGCCCTAAAACCCCTGGGCCCGAAATCCTAAACCCTTGGGGGTGTAAGGGCTTAGTTAGGGGGTGTTGGGGGGGCTTGGGTTCAGCCTTCGTGGGCTTGGGATGTAGGGCTGTGAGGGTTTCGGCCTTTAGTTCGGGTTTAGGGTTTAGGGTGCTGTGAGGGTTCCGACCTTTAGTTACGGCTTAGGGTTTAGGGCTTAGGGCTTGGAGTGTTTCGGCCTGTAGTTCGGGTTTAGGGTTTAAGGTTTAGGGCTGTGAGGGTTTAAGTTTAGACCTTTAGTAGGGTTTTGGGCTCCTGGTGCTTAGTTAGGGTTTAGATGGGGTTTCGTACAGCATGAGGGCTTTTTGTCCCGGTCAAAGGGAGCGACGACGTGTGAAATGAAACGCACTATCCCGACCCCTACAGTGTGATTGAGATAGGAAACACGATCAAACCCGTCAACCGCTAAACGCTAAACCCTAAATCCCTAAACCTTCCCTAAAGCCAAAGCCCCTAAACCCTAAACCCTAAGCCCCTAAACCCTAGACCCTAAAGCTTTTGTATTGCTTCAGAACTCCAGGGTCTTGAGGTCCTGGGCTCCCCTAGGGCTGTAGTAGAAGCCCAAACGATGGAAA